CGCGGGGTCGGGGTCCGCAGGAGTTAGCCTCAGGCTGTCGACCTGCGGGCATTGCGGCTGCTGGGGGCCGTGCGCTGGCGGCGGCTGGCTTGCTCTCCGTCTGCTCGGCAACGATCCTTCATCTGTGGGTCTGTAAGACCCACCTGTAAGACCGCACAACAAAGCAGGCTGCGCCTGTAGTACTTTCTCTTAGTTCTTCCAGCCCCGTGAAGACACAGAGCATTTTGGCCGGTAGGAAGTAACTCCGCTTCATTTGAATAGTTCTTTCCTTCTTGGAATATGTCTAGTGGGGGTTTTTTGTTGTTGTTTGTCGGTCGTGGCTCAGAGTTCAGGCCCAGGCCCAGAGTTTAGGCCCCACAACCGACCCCCCACCCCCCAAAAAAAATTCCTTCCCATAAACCCGCTCAGTGCCCTACAGGGATGGATGGAGGTCACGTTGGTGCTTAGTGTGCAAAGTGTAAGCTCCTGAGTCAGGCAGAGCAACAGCAGAGGACAGAGAGTGTGTGTGTGTGTGTGTGTGAGACTCTGCAGTAGTTTGGAACACAGCGTGGGGTGTGGAGGTCAGACCTGTTGTGCATGAGCTGGCTTTGCGTTTGGCTCAGGGGGAAGCTCAGCCTGCCTTAGCGTGGGGGGCCCAGCTGGAGGCTGGTTGTCCTGACTCCTTCACACAGCAGCACCCAAGGGTCTCCTCAGGGTCTGTAACTTGACTCTGCCAGTTTTCTCATTTGCCCAAAAGTTAATGCAGCACCGCACCACGCATGGTGCTTATGAGGAAGCACTCAGTAGATACTAGTTGTTCCTAACGGTGTTAAGAGCAGCAACAAAGTGGGGGAAACGGCAACCCCAAAATGACTTGTTTTAGCACTCTTGACAGTCATGCATGGCTCCATTAGCGACCGAGTAAATTTATGGTGCTGCTTTCCTGGAGGGAGGCTCTGCTGCGTCCAGTGGGCAGTGCAAAGGGTCAGCGCCCTCCTGCTGCCTGACGGGGGGCCTTGGCTAGACTCAGCCCACAGCCACTTGAGAATGTTCTGGTGAAGTGAACATATACACTTGCTCTCGCTGCCTCTTTCTTTTGAAACCCGGTCTCGGGGTCTCCCAGGGGGGCCTTAGGCCAGAGTAGCCTCAAACTTGTCCTCTTACGGAGTAGCAAGGGTACAGTTGTGGCATCTACTTCTAGCTAGGATATTTACTGTTGTACAACAAATTTCCAGAACTTTTTTCATTTTGCAAAACTGAAACTGTGTTTCAGGAGCAGCAGCACAGCCGGCAATGTCAGTGGTAGGGCCAGGATCCCAGCCTGTCCCGCGGCCTTTACCTAAGTGCATTTTCAGCTCTGCCTGCCGCTGCCAGACCGTGCTCTCCCAGGCGCGACTGTAGTATGCCTGGCATCTCCCAGGCTGGCCGAGGGCTCCTCCTCCTGTGAGCAGGTGCTGTTGGCCGGCCCGTGGCCAGCCCCTCTCCCATGGTTCTCAAAACCTGCTGAGGTGCCTCAGGCAGATGCAAGTCTGTGTTCTTGGGTGCTGTGGAGCAGTGCAAGGTCCTTAGCTTCTCCGGCTCATGACAGCCGTTGTGAGCTGGTGCTGATAGCTTCTCTGTGCTGTGTTTATCAGCCTGCCTTACTTTGCCACATGTCTGTTGCAGCCCAGTGCCTGTAGAATCTCCCTGAGGGGTGCACTGGCTGGTGCCCCCAGTGTCCTGTGGGGGCAGGCCTGCTAGACACTCTGCCTGTCACATGCGCCTTTGCTCATACACAGATAGGGAAGCAGCAGCTGCCCTGGCTCCTCCTGGGCAGAATTCAGGCGTGAAGTGGGACTTCCCTCTGACTGTGCAAATGGCCTGCATTCTCGGTGTGCCTGCTCTCCTCCCAGGCCCAGCAGTCTGTCCCCAGCTCCTAGAGGGGACCCTGCCAACTTCAGTGGAGTCCTGGGCACAGAGCAACAGGTGAACGGGAAGATTAAGTTCTTAGAGCCTGTTTCAGAGACCTTGGATCTGCCAGCTACTCCCTTCTAGGGCGTCCTCACCTGTCAGTGGTGCTGGTCCTCATTTGGCATGGACTGTTCTCTTGTGGGGTATCCCCACCTGTCACTGGTGCTGTTCCTTATCTGGCTTGGGGGAAGGGGATTGGTCTTCCCTCACTGCCTGGCTGGTCCCTAGTGTGTCAGCTACACTTTGCATCAGGTGCTTGGGGGCCTCTGGCCAAGTCTGGAGGGAAGCCCTGTTTGGGATTTCAGAGATTTCAAAGTGGAAATGCTGGTGGTAAAGGTGACTGTCTCAGCTCTGGGGTGATCAGCTGCTGGAACTGACCACAGAGTCTTGCTCTGTTGCCCTTTGCTTTTTAATACTGTCCGTGAGGGCTGGGAAGGTGGCTCAGTGGTAGAGCTCTTGCCTTGCATGCATGAGGCCCTGGGTTCGACTCCTCAGCACCACATAAGCAAAAAGAAAAAAGCCCGAAGTGGCGCTGTGGCTCAAGTGGTAGAGCGCTAGCCTTGAGCTGAAGATCTGAGGGACAGCGCCCAGACCCAGGGTTCAGGCCCCACGGCTGGACCAAAAAAAAACTGGCCATTTGTGGCTCTGAGCCCAGAAACTAGCCCCTCCCCCATCATGTTTGTGAAAACCCAGAAACTAGAGGAAGGAGAAGTGCATGGTGCCATCTCCTCCACTCAGCCTCCCCCCCCCCCCCCCCCCCCGCCAGCAGCTGGGCTCACAGGGGCAGGGGTGGAGCCCAACAAGGGGCTCGTTGCCTCCCGCCTGCCCGCGCTGTGCTTTGGAGACCTCTGTGGCTAAGATCCTTCCGCTCTGCATCATGGTCACCCTTCTGCTGGAGGCCCACTGCAGCACATCCCGGGCTGGGTGAGGCCCAGAGGGGCCCAGAAAGGCCACACTGGTGCGTGGCATGGCGGCTGATGGCAGGCAGGGACGAGGCCCCGCACGGGCACTGCTGCGTTTGTCCCGGGGGGTGACAGCGCCCTCCCTCAGTTTGCTGCAGCAAGATGGAGTGCTGAGTGAGCACAGTCCGCGCCGCCCTCGTGGCTGGGCTGGGCCGCGGAGCAGCGCTGTCAGGAGCAGCCTGGCTCGGGGTGGGAGTGAGAACGCAGCCCCTCCGGCTCCGCGCGCACCTCACCACCACTGCTCTTCCGCTTTTAGCTGCCTCATTCTGCGTTTTTCCAAGTTGGACAAATGAAAACCATGGAGCTGGATGATGAGCTCTTGGACCCGGTGAGTGGCCCGCATCCTCACAGGGCAGTGCCCGCCTGAGGATGGAGGACAGTGGGCAATGGGGGTGGCGGGACAGTATGGCTGGCAGACAGCAGGGTCCCCAGAGACGGTTCAGAGGTAGACTGCTCCAGGGAAGCGGCCCCGGAGCCACATAGCCATGCCAGCTGGAAGAGCAGAGGTGGACAGGAGTAGTAGAAGACGGATCATGGAGCACAGAGCCCTGGGCAGGAGTGGATATGGGCTGAGAGACTCCGGAGCCAAAGGGCTGGCTCTGGGGCAGGTGAGGAGGGGATCCCTGGGGGGTAGACATCCTTGGAGAGCGTGAAGGTTGGTCAATGGACTCTGGCCCTCCCGCCACACTGGGGGAGGCCCACATTCCCTTCCTCTCTGGTGGCACTCCAGTTTGTCCCAGTGGCCTGAGGCTGTGCGTTCTCACCTGCCCGCCATATATGGAATCCTGGAAGCTGTCCTTTGCTCTGTTGGCCTAGCACTGTGTACTAGTAGATTTGCGGGTGCTAAAATAACCTTGTGCTGGGCGCCGGTGGCTCACGCCTGGAATCCTAGCCACGCAGGAAGCTGAGATCTGAGGATCATGGTTCAAAGCCAGCCTGGGCAGGAAAGGCCATGAGACTCTTATCTCCAAGAAACCACCAGAAAACCAGAAGTGGTGCTGTGGCTCAAGTGGAAGAGTACTTGCCTTGAGCTGAAGAGCTGAGGGACAGCACCCAGGCCCAGAGTTCAAGCCCCACGACCGACCAAAAAAATTTTTTTTTCCTTATAAGAAGGGAAAGTAGGGAAGTAGGTAGGGAAAAGAAATCATCCAGGTTGGGCTGGGAAGGTGGCTCAGTGGTAGAGCGCTTGCCTTGCATGTCTGAGGCCCTGGGTTCAGTTCCTCAGCACCACATAAGCAAAAAGAAAAAAGCCGGAAGTGGCGCTGTGGCTCAAGTGGAAGAGTGCTAGCCTTGAGCTGAAGAGCTGAGGGACAGCGCCCAGATCCAGAGTTCAGGCCCCACGACTGACAAACAACAACAACAAAAAAAAACCCTTGTGTTCCTGAGACAAGCCCATCTCAGTCATGATGTTCCTGGATCCCTTGCTTTCTATCTGGACGACTGCATATCTGTGCCCTAGAGGATGCTGCTTCTTGTGCTCCAGGGCAGATGTTAGGCTTCTGTGACTTCCCGGCCTGCCTGGAAGTGTTGGGAGAGTGCAGGCCTCTGGTGTGAGTGTCCCTTCTTCCTCCCCTTGCTCCTCATTCCCAAAGAAAGCACAGAAACTGGACATGATAACACATGCCTGTAAGCCTAGCACCTGAGAAGCTGAGGCGGGAAGAGTGAGTGTTCCAGGACAGCCTAGATTACACACATAGTGAGAAGAAACCCCAAACCTGCGATGCTGCCTTTCCTTCAACAGGAAGTGGACCCGCCTCCCCCCTTCCCCAAGGAGATCCCACACAACGAGAAGCTCCTGTCCCTCAAGTACGAGGTGGGCCTCTGCCCTGGACCCCAGCCCTCGCCCTCCCCTACCCCTCCCGCCCAGGTCCTGGGTTGGTAATGGCCCATGCGCCCTGCTCTGCAGAGCTTGGACTACGACAACAGTGAGAACCAGCTGTTCCTGGAAGAGGAGAGGCGGATCAACCACACGGTAAGGGGGGCTGTCCTGTGACCAGGCGATGTGTTGCCTGCTCCCTTTCCTCCTCTGTCCCCAGCCTCGGGGTTCTGAAACCACTGCTTGAGGGCCACGTGACATCTGGCCTCTCACAGTAGAGACTGTAGGAGGAAATGTGGTGCTAATGGCAACCAAGAAGGCTGTCCCTACAGATGGCAGCCTTGGATGGTCAGCAGCTGTGTGGATTTGTTGGCAATGTCACCCACTCATGTCTTGTGGTGCTGCATGTCATTAAAACATGGGCAAAGGCCGGGTGCCGGTGGTGCACGCTTGTCATCCTAGCTACTCAGGAGGCTGAGATCTGAGGATCACGGTTCAAAGCCAGCCTGGGCAGGAAAGTCCATGAGACTCTTAGACTAGCGCTCTACCACTTGAGCCACAGCGCCACTTCCGGCTTTTTTATTTTTGCTCATGTGGTGCTGAGGAATCGAACCAAGTACCTCAGGCATGCAAGGCAAGCGCTCTACCACTGAGCCACCTTCCCAGCCCCTCCGTGAGACTCTTACCTCCAATAAACCACTAGAAAACTGGAAGTGGCGCTGTGGCTGTAGCGGTAGAGCGCTCACCTTGAGCTGAAGAACGCAGGGACAGTGCCCAGGCCCAGAGTTCAAACCCCACTATCAACCAAAAAAAAAAAGGGGGGGTGGCAAGACTTGGTCCTGGGTGCTGTGTGCGTGTATGTTATGTGTGTGTGTTGTGTGTGTGTGGCATCCTTGAGGGCCAGCCTCAGAGCTGTCTGCAGCCTGTCATTGGCTGAGATGTCCACATCTGACTCCACCTCTCCTGGCAGGCCTTCAGGACGGTGGAGATCAAGCGCTGGGTCATCTGTGCCCTCATCGGGATCCTCACGGGCCTCGTGGCCTGCTTCATTGACATCGTGGTAGAGAACCTGGCCGGCCTCAAGTACAGGGTCATCAAGGACAGTATCCTTCTCACCACCTACAGAGAATGGGGGCCGAAGCCTGTGCCCTCACGAGTGGGCGGTGCCAAGCGGCCCAGCCCTGTGGGTGCTTTCCATCCAGCCTGGGGGGGGGGTGCCTGGACTGACAGCTGTACCACTGTCCTCCTTGGGAAACATCTGTGGTGTCCGCTTACCCGTGGCATTGCAGGACAGCACATGCACACAGACTAGCCACGGGAGTGAGGACAGGGCGCCCGTGGGCTGTGAGGACAGCTGTTCTCGGCCTTGACTTGCTCCCAGACATTGACAGGTTCACAGAGAAGGGCGGGCTGTCCTTTTCCCTCCTGCTGTGGGCCACGCTCAACTCGGCCTTTGTGCTCATAGGCTCTGTGATAGTGGCCTTCATTGAGGTACAGTGATGTGCACTGGGCATCTCGGGGTGGGGCAGGAGGCAGCACAGGGTCAGGCGTACCCTGGTGGCCGGTGCGCGTGCATGCTTTGTGCGAGTGGAAATCGGGAGCCATGTGAGATCTAGTGGTAAGAAAGGAAAACCTTCTGCGCTGCCTCAGCCTAGACCCTGGGTGACGCCATTCCAGGCCTTAGCCCCTCAGCCCCGGTCCCCCATTCCCATGCCATACCCACCTTTAGCCCCTATCCTAGGCAGGTCTCCCATACCTGCCCCATGCTCAGACAAAGCAGGATCTGCCCAGAGCACTGGTATACCCAGACCCCATCCTCCATGGCCTGTACTGTGGGTGTCGGGGGGTGCTGTGGGAGGAGTCAGCTGGACATGGGCTAGGAAGGGAAAAGGGCAGGACCAGGTTCTCCCCGTGGGGCCTCACTCTGCCCTGAGGCAGAGGGCATCTCTTATCCTGGGACTCCCAGGAGTCCGTCGCCCCCCCCTTTTTTTGGGGGGGGGTCTGGTCATGGGGCCTGAACTCTGGGCCTGGGCGCTGTCCCTCAGCTCTTTAGCTCAAAGCTAGCGCTCTACCACTTGAGCCACAATGCCACTTCCGGTTTTTTTCTTTTTGCCTATGTGGTGCTGAGGAATCAAACCTAGGGCCTTGAGCATGCAAGGCAAGCGCTCTACCACTGAGCCACTTCCCAGCCCCCCCCCCTTTTTTTTTGTTGGTCATGGGGCTTGAACTCTGCGCCTGGGTGCTGTCCCTCAGCTCTTGAGCTCAAGCCTAGCTCTCTACTACTTGAGTCCTATATAACACCACTTACGGTTTTCTGGTGGTTTATTGGAGATAAGAGATTCACGGCCTTTCCTGCCCAGGCTGGCTTTGAACTGTGATCCTGAGATCTCAGCCTCCTGAGTAGCTAGGATGACAGCCATGAGCCACCGGCGCCCGGAGAGTCTTCCCCTTTTTATAGGCTGCTGCCCTTGCCATCCTTGTCATGGGGTGATAGAAACAAGACGCTGCAGCTCCAGAGCTATGAGGGCATCACAGCGACCCTATGTACAGAAGGTCTGCTTGCTTGTGCTAGACGATGCTCAATCCGGGAGCATCCCCCCAAGCTGCCCCTGTGGGGTGCATGGATATCATGTCTCCACCCAGGCCCCGGCACAGCCCACAGGGTTTACTTCCTTGGCAGAATTGGGCTGGAAGTGAGGACCTGCGTGTACCAGGCAGAGAGTCCTTCCGGGGCCTGGCTCTACTTGGCTCCTGGGCCATGGAGCTGTTCCTGCTCACCCCACCTGCTCAGTGGTGTCTCCTTCTCTTTCTAGCCAGTGGCTGCTGGCAGTGGGATCCCCCAGATCAAGTGCTTCCTCAATGGGGTGAAGATCCCCCATGTAGTGCGGCTCAAGGTGAGCTGGGGTGACGCGGTGCGGCACTCACTCGGGACTTACCGGCGTGTCTCTTGCCCTTCCCTCCTCTGTGCTTGCTGCTGGTGTGCGCACGGGTGCTGGCAGGTGTACTCCAAAAGTGGCAGCACTCACTAACCAGCACGGGCACACTCGGCCAGTGCGTGTTACGGTCACAGCCACGTAGAATGTGCCGTCACTAGGAGCCTGCGGGTGTTGGCATTTCAGAACCACTAGCATTAGGGGGAGAGGCTTTTTCTTTTAAGTTTCCTTAGGGGCTGGGAAGGTGGCTCAGTGGTAGAGCACTTGCCTTGCATGCCTGAGGCCCTGGGTTCGATTCCTCAGCACCACATAAGCAAAAAGAAAAAGTGGCGCTGTGGCTCAAGTGGTAGAGTGCTAGCCTTGAGCTGAAGAGCTGAGGGACAGCGCCCAGGCCCAGAGTTCAGGCCCCATGAAAGGACCCAAAAAAAAAAAGTTTCCTTAGTACTTATCATGCTTAATGTCAGCAATAGCCTCCTAGCTCCATGAAGTTTGGGTGGTTTTGACCACAGTCCACCTGTTCCTGTTCTAGCCCACATGGTCAGCCTTCCCAGACAGACTGGTCAGAGGGCTTCCTGTCCCTGGTTCAGGAGACTGGTTGTGCAGAGCCTGGGTCCTCCTATAGGCTCTTTTTTCCTTCCTTCCTTCCTCCCTCCCTCCCTCCCTCTCACACTCTCTCTTTCTTTCTTTCTTTTTTTTTTTGTCGGTCGTGGGGCCTGAACTCTGGGCCTGGGCGCTGTCCCTCAGCTCTTCAGCTCAAGGCTAGCGCTCTACCACTTGAGCCACAGTGCCACTTCCGGCTTTTTCTGCTTATGTGGTGCTGAGGGATTGAACCCAGGGCCTCATGCATGCAAGGCAAGCGTTCTACCACTGAGCCACCTTCCCAGGCCTCCTGTAGGTTTCCTCGGTGCGTGAAGCTCTTCTCCCCTGTGGATCTGTGCCCCAGGCAGGCAGGCAGGCAGGCAGGCACGTGTGGTGTATGGTCTGTCCCTTGGGGGGCCGAGGTGGCAGTCACTTCTACTGTCTCTCATGTGCTGTGAATATTTGCCACCCTCCAGCAGACTTAAGGGCTACCTTTAAGACTCCTGCCTGGCATGGGAGGCTGGTGGTGCACACACATCCTCCAGCAGGGACGCCCTGGGTGCCGTGAGGTGGGAAGAGCTCCCAGAATGGCGGTCCCCGCGCGCAGGGGCGCGCTGTGCGCTGCCTGTCCTCAGTGGAGGGCGCCTGACGCTGTACTGTGGCCAGCTTGCTTTGGGAAGGAAACCAGGGAAAAGACTTGTGCCTTGTGTGTGGGTGGGGGCGGAGTACCCTCAGGGTATGGGGAAGGGAGCCACGTCCTGGCCTGTGCTGGGGAGGGAGGAGGATGCAGCCTCCCGGAGCCCAGCGGCTCCCGCATCCCAGGGTCCTACCACCATGTGTGCGTTCAGCCCAGGCTCAAGCCCAGAGTTCTGTATCCACATGTGTTTTTTCTTGTGCTCTAGACATTGGTGATCAAGGTGTCCGGCGTGATTCTGTCCGTGGTGGGAGGACTGGCTGTGGGAAAGGTAATGAGTGTGCAGGACACTGCACCCCCCCCCCCCGCTCTGACCCCGCCCCTCGGAGGAAGCCACCAACCGAGTGCTGTGCTTCTAGGAAGGGCCTATGATCCACTCCGGGTCTGTGATCGCTGCCGGGATTTCCCAGGGAAGGTCAACATCGCTCAAGCGAGATTTCAAGGTAAGCCCTCTCCCCTGGAGGCGTGTGAATAAGAGCTCCCCCTTCCCCCCCCCATCGCTCCATCCTCCAGGCAGGGGAGCTGGTCCCCTCTCCTTCCCCATCCCCAACCCTACCTAAGTGGCAGCCTGGCCTGCTTCCAGCCCAGGCAGGCATGGATCCTTTGCTTCTGCCCCATGTGGCATCCTTCTCTGCACAATCCCAGTGTGTGTGTGTGTAGAGTCTGTGGCACCAGCCAGCTGAAGAAAACTGCATGGAGAGAGAGAGAGTGTGTGTGTGTGTGTGTGCGTGTGTGTGCGTGTGTGTGTGTGTGTGTGTGAAGAGTCTGAGGCGCCAGCCAGCTGAAGAAAGTCAGAACTGCATAAAGAGAGAGAGTGTGTGTGTGTGTGTGGTTAAGAGTGTGTAAATGGACTCGCTGGCGCTTGTTGTCCAAGTTTGTTTTGGGCTGGAAATGATAGTACATGTCTATAGTCCAGGCACTTGGGAGACAGAGGCTAAAGAGTTGAAAATTTGAGGCCAGACTGGTGGTCTACATAGTGGCCTGTCTCAAAAAATAGAATTTAGAGGCAGAACATGTATATTATTTAGAGAGAGAGTGAGAGTGTGTGTGTGTGTGTTGCTAGTCCTGGGGCTTGAACTCTGCCTGGACACTGCATAGCACCACTTCCGACTTTTTCTGTTTGTATGGTACTGAGGGATCAAACCAAGGGCTTCATGCCTGCTAGGCAAGCACTCTATCACTAAGCCACATTGCAATCCTGTTTTTGTGTAATGTAATTGAATTCAAGACATTACAACAGCTGTCTTCCCAGTGCCTGTGGCTCACGCCTGTAATCCTAGCTACTCAGGAGGCTGAGGTCTGAGGATCGTGGTTCAAAGCCAGCCCGGGCAGGAAAGTCCGTGGGACTCATCTCCAAAAATATATTTTTTTTTTCTTCAGTTGTGGGGCCTGACCTCTGGGCCTGGGCGCTGTCCCTGCGCTCTTCAGCTCAAGGCAAACGCTCTACCGCTTGAGCCACAGCACCACTTCCCGTTTTCTAGTGATTTATTGGAGATAAGAGTCTTACAGACTTTCCTGCCCCGGCTGGCTTTGAACTGTGATTCTGAGATCTCAACCTCCTTAGTAGCTAGGATGACAGATGTGAGCCATTGGTTCCCGGCTAAGACCTTCCATTTTCTTTGGTACTAGGGCTGAAACTCTGGGTTTTGTACTCTTACTTAGATTTTTCGCTCAAGCCCAGTGCTATGCCACTTGAGCCACATCTCCCCTTGTGGATTTTTGGGGTTACCTGGAGTCTGCCAGGGCTGGCTTTTAACCTCGTTTCTCAGTTCTCAGCCTGCTGAGTAGCTAGGATTACGGACGTGAGCCATCGACACCCAGCTTCAATTGTGTATAAAATGAAAAGCAGGGCTGCGAAGGTGGCTCAGTGGTAGAGTGCTTGCCTTGCATGCGTGAGGCCCTGGGTTTGATTCCTCAGCACCACATAAGCAGAAAAAAAAAAAAAGCCAGAAGTGGCACTGTGGCTCAAGTGGTAGAGCGCTAGCCTTGAGCTGAAGAGCTGAGGGACAGCGCCCAGGCCCAGAGTTCAGACCCATGACCGGACCCCAAAATGAAAAGCAGGGTTGGGTTTTCCACTTACTTGGTTTCCTTCTGGTTTCTCGGTAGAGCTGTGTTAATAGTCTATGTGTGTGTAGTGAAGCTGAGCTGCCGTTGTAGATGGGGTCCTCTGGTTATCTCAGTGGGCCACACGGTGTGCCAGCCATGTAGGCCTGCAGGGTGCTGGGGCCTTGCAGGGTGCTGGGGCCTTGCAGGGTGCTGGGGCCTGCAGGGTGCTGGCTGTGGCAGCTCTGGGACTCCAGTAGCTGATGGTGTGATTGTCCTTCCCCCCCCCCATTTGTTTTAGTCCCTTTCATGGCAGCCTGTATCCCCTACAAGTCTACCCATGCCATTCTCCATCCTTCCTTCTTTAGATCTTTGAGTACTTCCGCAGAGACACGGAGAAGAGAGACTTTGTCTCAGCAGGAGCTGCGGCTGGAGTATCAGCTGCATTTGGAGCGCCCGTGGGTGAGGAGGGACCGGCCCTGCCTGGCCTGCGGCTGTGCTCTTGGGGGCCTCATAGCTGACTAGGCCAGGGAGCGAAGCTCTCCCTGCTTGGTTGAAGGTCTGGTCTTGGTAATTGCAGATGAGCACTGGTCAGGTGTGGCCAGTGCTTACAGTCACCAGCCAGGGGATTTATGAGAGGTTGTACTATTGTCAGGAGCCCTGGACTGGCCCTGGGACCCCTGAGAGACCCCTCTCCCTGTGTCCTGCCCCCCTCCAGCTTCCCTGTGACACAGTCTTGCTTTCCTGGATTTGGGGGTGGGGTGACATGAGTACAGCCAGCCTGTAGCCAAGTGGCTCTTCAGGCTGCCTGCTTTCTTCCAGGTGGCGTCCTGTTCAGCCTGGAAGAAGGTGCCTCTTTCTGGAACCAGTTCTTGACATGGAGAATTGTAAGTATCCACTGGCCACCCGTGACTAAGGCTCCATGTTTCCCTCTTCTCCACCTCCCCCACGGTCAGGTGCCGCTCTTGTCCGTCCCCTCCCGTCCTCTCCTGAGTCCTGCCAGCCTGGACCGTCCTCCCGGCACTGTCTGGTCTCCAGCACCTGCCTCACCATGCAGTGGGCTGGGCCTGCTTGGCGCTCTAGCTCTCTTCCTCCTGTGTGGGTGGAGCCTCCAGGCTTACTGGTCCTGCCTGCTGGTCTTGTCTCCCCCCCCCCCCAATCTGGTTCCAGGCACTCAGTTATGGTCTCTGGCGCCCCCAAGCGTGTCGGGTGGGCTCCAGCACGCCCCTTAGGGCCCTGGCGGGGCCCCAGCCCTGAGGTTTTGCCTCTCTCTGTGCTGCAGTTCTTTGCTTCCATGATTTCCACCTTCACTCTGAACTGTGTCCTGAGTATCTACCATGGGAACATGTGGGACCTGTCCAGCCCGGGCCTCATCAACTTCGGAAGGTTCGACTCAGAGGTAGCTCTCCCCCCGCCTCACTACCTCTCACCTGTCTAAGGCTGGGGCTTCAGCCTGGTGTCTGGGAATTCTGGCTCTGGGCTGTGGGTAGACGTGAGGCCCCTGGGTGTTGTAGGGGCTTCCAGGAGCTCACAGCTACCCTGCGGGGACGGCTCGTGTGCTGCCAGCCGCAGCGCATGCGCCACCCACACCAGCAGGGCTCTGAGGAGGCATGAGGTCTGCTAGAGGGACCCAGCTCTCCTACCCATGGGGCCTCTGTGGGTCTGTGGAAAAGTGCTAGAAAGTTCCATGAACAGAGTCAGAGCTCACATGCAGCCCTGAGGTTTAACTGGCAGGAGCCACTTGCAAATATCAAGATTAGTCCTTCAACCAATCAGGGAGCACCTCACCCACCAGCCCAGCCAGCTATGAAGCCCCCACAAGCAAAGCCACAGACCCCAGCCGCAGCTGACACGCCGTACCATCTTCCCTTTCTTCTCTACAGAAAATGGCCTACACCATCCATGAGATCCCTGTCTTCATTGCCATGGGAGTGGTGGGTAAGTTCCTCCCCACAGGATGGAGCAGAGCAGGGCCCCAGTGCCAGATGACCATGGTCCCCGGGGCCCTGTTCCTGATGACTGCAGTCCACATAGCCCCAGTGCCAGGTAACCGAGGTCCCCAAAACCCCAGTGCCAGATAACCAAGGTCCCCAAAACCCCATGCCAGATAACCGAGGTCCCCAAAGCCCCAGTGCCAGGTAACCGAGGTCCCCAAAGCCCCAGTGCCAGATAACCAAGGTCCCCAAAGCCCCAGTGCCAGATAACCAAGGTCCCCAAAACCCCAGTGCCAGGTAACTGGGATCCCTGGGGCCCCAGTGCCGGGTGACTGTAGTCCCAGTACAGCTTTGCAGTGTCCACACCCTGCGTTCACAGGTAGGGTGCTGGCTAGGCTGGGGGTGAACCCTGTATAGGTGATACGTAGGAAGGACTGTAGGCTGGCTTTGTGTTCAGACAAAGTCCCAGGGCTGCCACCAGCTCACGCCTGTCATCCTAGCTACTCAGGAGGCTGAGATCTGAGGATCGAGGTTCAAAGCCAGCCTGGGCAGGAAAGTCCGTGAGACTCTTTATCTCCAATAAACCACTAGAAAACTGGAAGTGGCGCTGTGGCTCAAG